TTTAGATTATGCGCTGGTCTAGTTATTCTGAATGGATCGTGTAATAGTAGCATGTACAGTAAGATCAAGACAGCAGGTTTAGTGGTCTTTTGGCATCTCCCTGTGGTCCTATTTGATATCGCAGCTTGACTGGTGCTTATTTATATTATAAAGGTGGTGAGGATGGGGGGATAAATTCTGGATAAATTGATAGTCACGACATTATTCTCATACGAACAGACAACTAAACAAAATAGCATGTAATGTACTAGAGGATCTGACAAAATGTTAATTGCTGCAGTCTATTTATTATTTTTTTAATTATTGCAAAATCTGCACCTCTTCTGTGGCAAATGTTAATTTCATAATGATTCTTACTCCGTGAAGTCAAGCAGCAGAAGTTAAGTGACAATATGCAAATACTAGGCTACTGGCCCATTTTGGGGTGAACTAAATATACAAGACTAGTTTTACACGTCACTGTTTATAACACATGTCATGGGGCATAAATTAAGAGTATACCCACTTCTCCAGGCACCACTACACCACTGGGTATTTGTTTTTAAATCCCTAAATCATCTGGCACCCTCTTATCTGACTTATTAAAAGAAAAAAAGCCAACAAGCGTCACACAGACAGGCATTTGAGATCGGCTCGATTTGAGAAAGGGGAAAACATTTAACCAGATTAAAACCACTCGGTGGATTTTTATCATTATAGGGTGGTACATACACTGCCAACACACATTTCAGTTCAAACAACTTGTAAAAGTGCATGCAGCATCCTATGACCCCTTTAACAAACATCACATAATGCTGCATACATAACAATAATGAACATATATGAAAATAAATGAATGCAATACAGCTTCATGTGCACATTTACAAAACATTACACATGTTTAAATCTGCAATTTATTGCACAAATAAAGTGCCCTCCAAGAATAAATATTAACACCATAAATCCTTGTAATTTCTTGTGGTGTGAATGCACTGCAGTAAAATGTAATTAAGACTGAAGAAATAATGGTTTTCTTTCTGATTAATGGCAGTATATAGGCCTACTGTGAATGTCAGTCAGACCCATGGCAGCTGTGATGCTCGACTACTGGACTACTCTGTTTGTTTGTTTATTTATTTATTTTGTTTGTTTGTTTGTTTAAAGATAATTGATCAGGTCAGCACACTTGTATTACTTTCGTAATGCTCAACCAATCAAATTTGAGGACTGATACTGTATAACTAACTCATCATCATCTTGTAGAAATGTTACAGATAAGTTATAATAAAGTTTCATAAAAGCCAAACAACCAAAACTATTTTGTTATGGTCCAAATATGCAGCTTATTGCTAGGGAAACTATTTCTTTAGTCATATCCATATTTCCTACTTGGATGATATGAAATGTTTCCTAAACTCTGAAAATGCTGGTTATTATAATTTTTTTTTAACCGAAATGCTGGGTTCAGTCGGTTAGGTCATTTTACTGGGTTGTTTTTAAAAAAAATCCCCAGGTGCTGGGTAGTTTTTCTATTACTCTTATTGCAGACGGGTGGCACTGTTGCACCCTTTGCTTGGTGATCACTAACTTTAAGTCACTCCATTGCTCAACCCCCGTGAGCAATCTGTAACACATTTACACTTGAGTTTAGCTTTATGCAACACCCAACATACTATTTTGAGAATCTAATGGAAACAATTAACAATTTAGTTGCAATGGCACAAAAATGAAAATCATGAAAGGAGGCCATCATGACCCCCATCATTACCTGGGAGAGAAGCGCACGTGCCCCCTCAGATTTTTGAGCCAAGTGGATTTTGAATGCAGCTTCCAAAAGAAAAAAAATAGCCGAATAATATATTTTTATATTTGATATGATCACACCGTCGTGATTAGATCGTTCAGTGAGGCACATCACCAGCTAAAATCTGGCGCTGAGCCAGAGACAGATGCGTTTTTACAGCGCTGCGCATTATAACCAATCACACACAATTCTGTTGAGCTTATGAATGCAATGACCAATCAGAGGCGTTCAGGTGAGTGCAGATGTGCGAACGATGTAAGTAAGAGATTAATTTCACAGTTCATTATAACTGGAGTTCCCTTTCATGGGAACTTCGAACTGCGTCCTCTAGGGGTCGCTATGGGGAAACCTAGAGGATGCAGTGTCTCGTTCCCTACTCAGGGAACCATGGTTACATAAGTAACCTGAGACGTTCCCTTTCATGGGAACTTCGAACTGCGTCCTCTAGGTTTCCCCATAGCGACCCCTAGAGGACACAGTGTCTCGTTCCCTAATCAGGGAACCATGGTTACATAAGTAACCTGAGACGTTTTTGTGCTTGAACTCTAGCTAGACTGAAGTCAGTGAAAATGTTCTTTGCTCTCTTTCTGTACAATTAAAGTGTTATAATTAGTAACTTACAATGTTTTTATTAAATTCACATTCAATAAGCTACAAAGTCAGTCGTATTAAAAATATTTTATGGCATGACACACCCATATCTGGTACTTTTTGAACAATTTGTTTATTGAGAAATAAATTATGTCAGTATAATGCCGTAAAATTGAATCAGATCTCTTATTTACATATTAATAATACTAAAAGAAAAACAGCAACTAACACAAGAAAAGAGAGAGAGAGAAAATAATAATAATAAAAAAGAAAATGGAAGAAAAAAAAGGACACAGGTCAGTTCAAAACATTACACAATAAGATAATATGAGAGTACTAGTCATACATACCTGGGATACAAAAAAGGGGGGGGGGGTAATTTGGGGTAAGGGGTAAATGGCTGATGGCTTAATAATAAATCGTGGCTGAGGGTGATAAAAGAATCAAGTAATTTGATCTCTTTCTCCCTCCATTATATTACACAAATCTGAGCTTGAAATAAAGGATATAAATGGTTTCCAAATATTAAAAAAAGACTATTCAGGTATTCAGAATATATGTAATCCTTTCCATTGACAAACAAAAGGACATGTTGTTGATACATATATGTATAATGTAATATTGATGTATAATGGGTGGCTTTTCCACTTTCTTCCAATAGACGCTTTGCTTGAAGTATACTTATGTCAATAAGTTTCTGAGTGCTGCTACTGTATACAATATTCTCAGGACAGGAACATACCTGGTACTTAAGGAAAAAGCCGGGTTATTATGCGTAGTTAATAGATCACACTATTAGGCTACTTTGCTCATCGCCCATTACAGATCAACTAACATAATCTATACAGGTGCAAAACGCATTTGCTTACACATAATTGAGAATCGACATATTTCATGATATATTTGACACGTTTGGGAATATTTCGAATGAAAAGGGAAAAAATGTATAAAACATAAGCCTATATCAGTTATGCAGCGCTATCGTGACTTCTGTGTGTCATGAGCAGGACAAGCAAGACGAACTCGAAATGAGATGAATTTACCTCAAAAGTGTTCTAAATACCGTGTGAAATGTCAACATGAATTAGTGCACACTGCACAGGCGATTTCTACACATGCTGAAGAGAGCGTTGTCCCCATCTGAGGTCGAGAGGAAATTAAAGCTGTGGGAGTCATCTTCTTTCCACACAGTTTTTAATTTCACTGATTATATATCTTAGGCGTCTGTTCACATTCTTAGCATTTTGAACAACTTCAAAGGTTCTCGAACGAATTATGCTGCACCACGTTCTCAGAAAGTTAAAGAGATGCTAATGTAGGCCTACACAGTCAGTGTTGCCAACTCGTTTTCAGGGGAAGCTGCTAAAGGAAGGCCAATGTGTTGCTAAATGATACGTAATCATGACACAAAATTGTCACTACATCAAATCTCAGCAAACATGTGTTTTATATATGTTCCTTTAGATTTGTTTGTAAAATAATATAACGTAATATAATATTTAAATATAAATAACTGTATTTTTAAATACAACATTGAATTATTGAACACTTACACATTTTTGAACAATTAGGGCTTACGATTTAAGTTTTTTTATTAGCTAGTAAACTAGGGCACAATCTACACTCTAAAAAATGCTGGGTTAAATACAACCCAGTGCTGGGTAAAATAGGGACAAACCCAGCAATCGGGTTGTTTTGACCCAGCGGTTGGGTTACTAACAAGAAAGTTGGGTTAAACATTTAACCCAACCGCTGGGTCAAAACAGCCCAATTGCTGGGTTTGTCCCTATTTTACCCAGCACTGGGTTGTATTTAACCCAGCATTTTTTAGAGTGTACTATGTTAATATGAAGGAATTTTCCTTATTGATTTTTCACAGGTTTTTTACCTGCATTTTAAATTACGCATTGTATTTTGTGTTTTTGGGTTACATTGGATAATGTCCTGGAAAATTACTAGTAGCTTTTCCATTTTTCTAGATGTTTTTCTTACAGTGTATTACAATCGCTGGCACAAGCTACTAACAAGGCGTATCATAAACGAACAATTATTCAATTATTATTGTTAAATTGAGCAATTGCTAATAGCAGCTAACTTAATTCATGTGATGTGTGTACTGCTAGGCACATCTTTATATATATACACACACACATTTAAGAAAATAAAATTAATAAAATAAAAATGACAAATGCATACAACAACATCATTGCTAAGTTGGCAACACTGTACACACAGTGTATAAATTATCTTCCGTCGCCAAAGTCAACAGAAAGCGAGAAAAAAGTTTTTGTCTCGGTGTATGTTATCGATCATAGTTTTTCAAAGAAACAAAACTGATGTAACATTATACAATACAGTAATAAATACAGTAGAACCAAACAAGAACATATATTTCGTTCCCTTTCGCCCGACGTAATGCGTAGAAAGTTTGCATGACGCACTTCCGCAAACTTGGAGCGGAAGTTGTGTTGTTGTTGTTGTTGAGCCCGCCGGCTGGAGGTGTGTAGGATGCTTCGCTCGCTCTCTCTGTGTTTATATCTGTGTGAAGCGGCGGGCTGGAAGGCGTAGCAGACGCGCTGGTCTTTCAGTCGCATGTCGTTACTGTTTCAGGGATGGACTCGCTCTTCGGGACCGCGGCTGCGGCGCAAAAGTGCTGCTCTGGAGCCGCCAGCAGAAAAACCGCCAAAACCGGCAGCAAAAAGTGCAAAAGCCGCTCAGCCCGATATCCAAAAGCGAGCAATAATCCGCCTTATCTACCTCCAGAGGTGAGTGTGCTCTGGTTTATCTGCGCTCGAACACATCTGTCTGTTTCAGGGCTTGTGACTGTACATACAGTGCTGGTCACAGACATAGATGAAGCTGTGAAGTATACAGGCGTTACCTTGAATAATGCCAGTGTAACGTTACCAGCCTCTCCGAGGTTTGAAGATAAGTTAGGGTTATTACTGTAAAGTGTGCTAATGATACGACATGATAAAAGTAGCCTCTCTAGCATCTCAAAAATAGCTGAGCGCATTGTTACCAGTGTTGGGGGTAACGCATTACAAGTAACGCGAGTTATGTAATCAGATTACTTTTTTCAAGTAGCTAGTAAAGTAACGCATTACTTTTTAATTTACAAGAGAATATCTGAGTTACTTTTTCAAATAAGTAACGCAAGTTACTTTTTTTCCAATTTATTGACTGGCAGCTCTGCTGTCCCCATGTTGAGAGAAATAAGATGTTACTGTAGCTCTAAAATAATTATGAATATGCATTAATTCATCTCACTCACAAAAAACACAGATTCAGTATTCCTCAAAATGATGCAACTCAGAATATGACACAGACCTGCAATAATTAAATGTTAAACAACACAAATATGCTTTGTGTTTAATCCCATTCTATTTGCTTCTGAGCTTCGATGATCCAGTTCTCCGAGGTTTGAAGATAAGTTAGGGTTATTACTGTAAAGTGTGCTAATGATACGACATGATAAAAGTAGCCTCTCTAGCATCTCAAAAATAGCTGAGCGCATTGTTACCAGTGTTGGGGGTAACGCATTACAAGTAACGCGAGTTATGTAATCAGATTACTTTTTTCAAGTAGCTAGTAAAGTAACGCATTACTTTTTAATTTACAAGAGAATATCTGAGTTACTTTTTCTTTTTTCCCAATGTATTGACTGGCAGCTCTGCTGTCCCCGTGTTGAGAGAAATCAGATGTTACTGTAGTTCAAAATAAATATCAATATGCATTAATCATCTCACTCACAAAAACCACAGATTCAGTATTCCTCAAAATGATGCAACTCAGAATATGACACAGACCTGCAATAATTAAATGTTAAACAACACAAATATGCTTTGTGTTTAATCCCATTCTATTTGCTTCTGAGCTTCGATGATCCAGTTCAGCCGTACTAATAATCACAAATTACTCTAGACGAACATTTGTGTCTTCTTCTGCATTCTACTGTACTTTCCCTTCAGCCTGAGGCGCATTCATTTCACTTTTGGTGTGAAAAGGCTTTTATATTTGCCTAAAATATAACTTTTTTTATATTAAAAACAAACAAGCAAGCCCTGTCCAGATTTAAAAAGTAGCGCAAAAGTAACGTAACGCATTACTTTCCATAAAAAGTAACTAAGTAACGTAATTAGTTACTTTTTTATGGAGTAACGCAATATTGTAATGCATTACTTTTAAAAGTAACTTTCCCCGGCACTGATTGTTACCCTATTAACATTATACTGGATCATATAAATTTCAGCATAGAAACATGCTTTTTAAATCACATACACAGAAATGTAACACACGCATTCTGGAAATGCACCGTTCCCTGTAAACAACCGTGTTATTTACTTATAAAACATAGCTTATATTAACAGTAGAACTTCATGTCTTTTCAAATATGTTATTATTATTATAGTGTTGTGGCAAATACATTGGACTGTATATGTGACCTTGTCTTAAGTCGCTGGGGTATATTTGTAGCAATAGGCAGTTTGTTTATTGCTGAAGTGTGTTGAAATGTCTTCTTCTGCGTTCTACTGTACTTTCCCTTCAGCCTGAGGCGCATTCATTTCACTTTTGCTGTGAAAAGGCTTTTATATTTGACAAAAATATAACTTTTTTTTATATTAAAAGCAAACAAGCAAGCCCTGTCCAGATTTAAAAAGTAGCGCAAAAGTAACGTAACGCATTACTTTCCATAAAAAGTAACTAAGTAACGTAATTAGTTACTTTTTTATGGAGTAACGCAATATTGTAATGCATTACTTTTAAAAGTAACTTTCCCCGGCACTGATTGTTACCCTATTAACATTATACTGGATCATATAAATTTCAGCATAGAAACATGCTTTTTAAATCACATACACAGAAATGTAACACACGCATTCTGGAAATGCACCGTTCCCTGTAAACAACCGTGTTATTTACTTATAAAACATAGCTTATATTAACAGTAGAACTTCATGTCTTTTCAAATATGTTATTATTATTATAGTGTTGTGGCAAATACATTTGAAAGGAAATATATTCCACGTAACCTGTCCACTAGTTTGAGCTCGATAATTACATAAGAACTGGATTATGGCATGTATTACGCTGCAGAAGGATTTGAGAGAAATCATGGTTTTCGCTTTGGCTGGCAATAAAGGAGAGCTTCAGTAGAAAGAAAAAACAAGGCATGACCATCAAACGATCGATAACGCTGAGAGAGGAGGAGTGTAATGAGAGGTTGTGAGGGCCGTGTCACGGTGAATCATTATTGTGTTGATGTTGTTTCACTGCATCCTCATCACACTGTAATGAATGCTGATCCAGTGCTGCTTCTGCTACACTAGCAGAGTCTTGTTCAACTAGATTGTTAATACAAACAAATGAATTGTGTCTAGGGCTATGTTCAACGCCACGCTTTTGTGTGTTTTCCTTGTTCATTTTGCCTGTACTTCAATTGTGACTCGTTTACATTAGCAATAGCAAAGCTTGCTTTAACTTACCTGACATGCTGTTAAAATGTGATATGATGCAGTGTGTCTGATCTCAAAGGACGGCTAAAGTAGTAAGACGTGACTATTCTGAATGAGCCAACAAATCTGTTGACTTTGTTAGCGGCGTCAGCTTTTTCTCTCTTTCTCTTCTTTGTGTTTTGAATCCTGACCTGTGTGACTTTGAGCTCGGTTCAGCATTAACTCTGCCCTGTCTTTTGTTTCAGGCTGAAGAGGGAAACATTGAGTACAAGGTAAACTCTCCGCACAGATATTCACCAAATATATCACCGAACACAACAGAGCGCCTCAGATTTGGACATTAACGTTTGTTGAAAGCATTGCTTTTGATTCACGCATGGGTTACCCACAATGCTCTGTAAGTAGCTGGCAGTCTGAGCGTCTCCTGTGTAAATGCATGCAGCGGAAGATTAGCAGAGCTTTTTTTATACACTACAGCTGCTGCCGGCAAACAAAACTGCGCTGACACTCCCGTCATCACAGCATTACATTTGCACCGACACCCAAATCTCAGCTAAACACTCTCAGTCATGCATTCAGCCAGACTGTTGTTGTTGTGTGTGTTTTAGCTGAAGCTGGTGAACCCCACGCAGTACCGCTTCGAGCACCTGGCCACACAGATGAAGTGGCGCCTGCAGGAGGGCCGCGGGGAGGCCGTGTATCAGATCGGCGTGGAGGACAACGGGCTGCTGGTGGGCCTGATGGAGGAGGACATGAAGGCCTCTCTCAAAACACTGCGCAGGATGGCTGAGAGGTAGGCTTGCCGTGATAGACGGTGTTGACGGTGATACCGGTTTTAAAGCCGCAACACCGGTTACGTCACTTGCCCACCGCGGCACCGGCACCGACCCCCACCGTCGTTTTGATTTTTGTATAGTAATAAAAATCATGTAGTTCAGTAAAAGAACAGACACTACAATTAAAAACTGAACGCGGCTGCTCAATGCAGCGTGCCGAACGACAGTCGCATCACTTCTCATTTCATTTCGATTTCATTTCTCCAGTGAGGAGAGCTGACTGAAGAGTGAGGTGAGGTGAGGTGAGACAGACAAGACGATCGCGGATGATTTAGTTTTGAAACGAGATGCAAAAGCACCTGTTTGGC